AGGGGCCCTTTAAAGCTCCAGGGCCATATGGGTTAAGGGGAGTTAAAGGGTTAGGGGGCAGTGGGGGACATGGGGGCTCTTAAGGTTAATGGGCCTCTTTGATGTTTAAGGGGGTAAAGGGGGTTTGGAGGTCCCTGAAGGATCAGTGGGCCTTTGAGGGTAAGGGGCCCTGTGAGGGTCAAGGGGCGTTTGAGGTTCAGGGGCAAGGGCCCGGTGGCCACAGGAATGTCCAGTGAAGGGCATTGCCGCAGTGCTGCTGGCTTTCCTCGGTACTGCCCCCCCCCCCCCCCTGCCTGTGCTTGGCTCACAGGGCTCACAGCTCTCACCAGGTGACACTGTGGTGACCGCCCACCTTCTCACCCCCTCCTTCCCCTCAAACCCTCTCCAGGGAGAGGACACAGCCGCTAGCACAGGGACTCACTGTGCGGTTTGCCATCCCCTCTGCCCTCCGACCCTTCTCTTTGTTAAAAACCACTGGACTAGCCCGACCAGCGTGGCTCAGTGGCTGAGCGTGGATCTAGCAACCAGAAGGTCACTACTGATTCCTGGTCAGGGCACAGGCCCGGGTAGCGGGCTGGATCCCTAGTGGGGTGTGCAGGAGGCAGCCGGTCCATGATTCTCTCTCATCATGGATGTTTCCCTCTCCCTTCCTCTCTGAAATCAATAAAATAAATTTAAAAACAACAACAAAACACACTGGACCAGGATGAAGGAAGGACAGGCTCTTTCCTCCGGCTAATCCTCACCAGAGGGTATTTGTTTTCCTTGATTTTCAGAGAGAGTGGAAAGGAGGGAGGGCAGGGGAGAGATACATCGATGGGGCGCCTCCCACCGCACCCCAGCCAGGGCTGGGATTGAACCCACAATCCAGGTCTGTGCCCTTGACCAGGATGGAACCTGCAACCCTTTGGTGCCAGGGCCAGTGTGCTAACCACTGAGCCACCGGCCTGGGCAGGACGGGCTCATCTTTATCCCACGCCACGTGCGGCTGGACAATGCTGGATGGGGAGAACTCGAGGCCACGGCGAATGTGGGAGAGGTCCGGCCCGCACGGCAGCGCCAGCCTCACCGCCACGTCTGCACTTCCTCCCTCAGGGACACTGAGCACGTACTGCTTTTTACATTTCACAGGTAATAGGTGCGTGTTCTCACTGACAAGGAGGCAAGCCATAATCACAGCCCATTAGGAATACGTTATGTACCAGCATTTTATTCAACATTTAACATGGATAACATTTTAAAGATGCAAAACCCGCCTCAGGATCACCATGTCGCTCTGGAGTGTGGAATCTTTCATTCATCAAGCACAGCCGTGGCCTCCGGCCTGTCCCCTCCCGGCCCCGTCCCCCTCCCGCCCTCCCGGCTCCCTCCTGGCTCCGTCCCGAGGCCCCTCCCGCTGCGCCAGGGCTTGTGAGGGCGCGTCTCTGGCTCCAAGGTGAGAAGCTGAAGACGGTAATTAGACAGTGAAGACGCTAATCCCATCACAGGGAATCTTCTTCATGGACAATGGGAAATTGTTCCCTGTAGGTTTCAAACTCATTCAGTCAACACGGTGGTTGCCAGAACAGCCTGTGTGAGGGCAGGCGCGGCCCAGGCTCTCCCCGCCCCCCAGGCGTTGCCACTGTTGCCCATCGAGCTCATTACGGCTGCGCTGGGCGTTCTCAGTTCGTTCGTATCAGAGACGACTGCCTCTGTGGTCTTCTCCAGAAACACTGCGCGTGGAAGGGAGGTCCCTCCAGCGACCGGCTGGGTGGAGAACGCGTTGTTCCCTCCAAGGGCCTGGCAGCCGCGATGCGGTTCCATTCGCTTCTTCCTAAAAGGAGGCACTGCTTGCCACTGCCCCGCGGCGCAGCTGGGACGGGAGGGCAGGCTTGGAGCTGGCGCATCCCTCAGACCAGGCACCGCCCTGACCACAGGCTCTGAGGGGCGTGGGAGATGCTGCAGGAGCCACCGGGAGGACAGGTGCCCGGCCCCACGCGCTGGGGTGGCAGGCAGGGGCAGGCCGGGGCCGCAGCCACCTCCTTGTGGGCGCTGGAGGAGGCAGGTGTCCGGAGGAGGTCAGCCGAGGTGGCTCTGGAGGGTGGGTCACCTGCCAGGACTCGGGAAGGACATTTAGGCGGAAGGAGCCCACGGACGGAACGTGGGGTGGAGACACGCTGGTGCGTTGGGGAAACGGTGAGCCGTGCGTTCGGCTGGGCACCGGGGCCGAGGCAGGGATGGGCTCAGACCCGCAGAGCTCGCTCACTTCTCCCGGGAGCGTGTTCTCGGCACAGCACCTCCCCTGTCCCGTGTGGAATGAACCGTGGACAGAACAGATGTGGACGGGTGGACGGAGTGAGTGTAAAGGGCCTGTGTGAGGACAGTCAACGCATAACATGAAATAAGATGGAAAGAACAAGGGCTCAGGCGTGTTTGTGCCTAGGACTGGGCTTGCTGAACCGACACGGAGCCAGCTAACTGACCGAGGACACGGCTCTCTCTGCAGACGCGGGACCATGTGGGCCTGGGCGCTGTGGGCGCTCCCTCTGCTCTGCCCAGGCGGCCTGGCAGGTAGGTGGGCTGTGCGCCTGCTGGGCTGGGCTGCGTGGGTCATTGCCTTCTCTGGACAGGAATTGCCCATCGAGAGCAGAGAGGCACTGGGCCCCGGGCACAGGAGGGGAGCGGGGGGTTCGTGGGCCCTGCAGAGGGGGTTGGGGCCGTGTGCACATGGATGTATGTGGACGCATGTGCCGACGTGGTAAGATGGCCTGTCATATTTCCCAAGGGACGGAGTGAGAGTCTTCCCACGGCCCCGATGAGGAGAAAATGCCAGACCTCACAGCTCACCAGCCAACCCCACGTCCGGTCGCTGTTTTCCTCAAAGCGCTCGCTGCTGGCATGGTCCCCACGCACTGAAGTACTCTGTGTGTGTGTCTCTGTGTGTTTCAGCTCTGCCAGCCAAGCCCGAGAACATTTCTTGCATCTTCTACTACAGGAAGAATTTTACCTGCACCTGGAGCCCAGAGAAAGAGGCCAGTCACACGTGGTACAGGGTCAGGAGGACTCAGTAAGTGCAGGGCTGTGTGCCGGAGGGAGGGGAGGAGGCGGGCTCAGGACGTCTGTGTTCTCAGTGACAGCGTCTGGGTGGTCCCTGGGGCATTCAGCGGGGTGACCCCTATGGCATCCAGCCGCCAGGTGATGGCGGGTGACGGTGTGGCTGCTTGCAGCCAGCTGACAGGATCAGACACTGCAGGGGGAAGGTGGAGGGGGGTGGCTGTGGTCGGGCTGACAGCTGTCCCCGGTCACACACGGGACAGATCTGTCTATTTACTGTATTCAGCTACATTCTTCCTCCTAGAACATGTAAGAAAGCTTTCCTTCTTCGGGCCCAGGGTTGGAGGGAGGGTGCCTTTTCTGCCACCAACTCCTGTGTGACCCTGTCGTCAGTAACCCCCAGGACGAATTCCAACTTTTCACTGCCTCACACTTCCCTTGTTCAAATTCTATTAGAAAAGTTATAAAATCTATAATAATAAAAGCGTAATATGCTAATTAGACCGGACAGCCGAACGACCTTCCAGACGTCCTTCCAGATGAAGCTGCCATGGCGGGGGCCGAGGCAGAGGCAGTTAGGGGCAATCAGGCAGGCAGGCGAGCGCTTAGGGGCCATCAGACAGGCAGGCAGCCAGTTAGGAGCCAGCGTTCCTGGATTGCGAGAGGGTGAGGCCAGGCTGAGGGGCCTCCCCCCATCCCCCCTACACAAATTTCGTGTACCAGGCCTCTAGTGTTATTATAATTCCAGCCCAAAGCCAGGCGACTTAGTGAATGTGGACAGGGTTTCTGTGAAAATTTGAAAATAGCTCAGGAGACCCACTGCATCCTCCATGCTGCCGGGAGCCGGGAGGCCCCGCGGGACCTGTCACAGGCGGTCTGTCGGTTTTTTCTGCTTCAAAGCGAGCCTAGCGGTCCCAGCTTTATTCTGTTTGGTGTTTAAATGCAAGAGCTCATGTATCCTCCTTTTTTTCACTCCTGTAACTGGTCCCCGTGTGGCGAGGGGAGCCACTCGTGTTTTACAGAAGAGGGGCCAGTGCCAGGTGGCCCTGTGTCGGTGGCGGTGGCGGTGGCAGGCGTCCCCGGGGCCCAGCAGGGCCTGAGAGGCGAGAGCAGGTCTTAGGCTCCGAGGGAGGCGGCCTCTCAGACCAGCCGCCTTCCCAGCAGGAGAGCCGCACACAGTGGTAACCCAGGACCTGTTTCCAACAACACCTCCCTGTAGACACTGAATGTGCGCGCCATGTACACCCTCACAGGCCACAGAATCGTCGTCCTTTACTTTCTCCCTGACCGTTCAGCCATGGAGAGCGGGTGCTTAGCCTGCGGGCCCCGCAGGACGGGGTGGGCGGCCTCTGACCTCCCGGCTGTGGTTCGCCGACCCCTGGAAAGGCCCAGTGACCCGGGGTCCACGTGACCTGCCACCTCCCGTGCGCGCTGGTCCAGGTCCTCCTCTCCTGGCCTCAGCCTCGCCCGGCTCCTGCCAACCCCAGAGCCACGCGGTTAGAGCTGCACCCCCGGGGCAGGGGTCCGGCCGATGTGCGTGCGGGCTTGTCGTGAGCTCATAGCTGGACAGAGTGTAAGTGATCTGTCTTGGAAAGTAATTTCAGTGAGTTTTCTGAAAACAGTATATACCTGTGGTAAATAATTTGATCTGAAAGACAAAGAATATTAAAAATCACCCCAAAGCCCATCACCAAAGGTGACAACTTTAGCATTTTGATGATGACCTTTCCAGATACCTCTAAGAATAGTTATGTAAATGCACAAGTTGATATATATGTGATTATTTGATAGATAACACATATCCTGCTCTTTTTCGCCAATAATGAGAGTATGGGCTTCTTCCCGGGTGAGTAAATGTAGACATATTGAAAACTATCATTTTAAATTCTATTTCAGTACCTGCCACCATTTATTTAACAAATCCTCTTTGATTCTTTTCTGTTATGAAGCAGTTCTCCAGGTTAGAATCTGGGATTCTAGGGGCCCATTCATCACTTGTGGCCAATAGGAAAGGCATGACGAGGGCAGCTTGCGGGGCTTGTGGGCCCAGGGAGGTCTCCGTGGCCTCAGCCTCGGCAGCAGCGCGCAGTGAACTGCATCTCTCCGTGGAGGGGAGGGAGGACTGTGGGGAGAGGGGGTACCTCCCTCTGGTCTAACAGTTCTCAAGAGAAACCCAGACGGAACCTAACAAATACACCCCTAACACGGTAAGTCTGGCTGGGTTTCCACACTGCTGAACCAGCTCACACTGAGCCGCTTTTTCCTCCCAAGCTCTGATGGAAAGAAAAATGACACTTGTGAATCTACAAGCGAGACCCCCGCTTCGTGCTCCTTCCTAACTTCAATCACAATCCCAGACAATTACACTATCCAAGTGGAGGCTCGGAATGCGGACGGGACCGTGGAGTCTGCCGTGACACACTGGCGCTTAGATACCATAGGTGCGTGTTATTGGGTATCTTCTCTGCTTTTTCTCAAAGATGCCGCCTCCCCCTTCTTTTGTTCATCCTCACCTGGGGTACTTTTTACCACTGGTTTTTAGAGAGAGTGGAAGGGAGGGGAGACAGAAACATCGATGTGGGAGAGACCCGTCTATTGGTTGCCTCCCGCATGGGGCTGGGGATAGAGCCTGCAACTGAGGTACATGCCCTTGGCTGGGAATCGTACCCAGGACCCTTCGGTCCATGGGCTGACGCTCTATCCACTGAGCCAAGCCAGCCAGGGCGAGGGGACTTTTTCTTGATGGGGTATTCATTTGGCTGCTGCAAACCAAACCTCTGACTGTTTCCAGAGCTCCGGCCAGATCAGTGGAAGCACTTCCTGTGGGGTTTTTGTCTGTTTGTTTTTAGTGTTTCTATGGGGGAACGAAACCTTGGAATTTCCTCGCCATCATTTTGCTGACATCATCAATATACATCGATTCTCAATGAGCAGTTCTGCGGGTGAAGATTAATGACACGTCTCCTGGGCGACATACTTGTGCACAACAGGGATTGTGTCTAGGCTGACGGGAGGAGCCTGGTTTCCTGGGAAGGGCGGAGTTTTGGAGTGGGTGCAAGTGAATTCCAGCTTGGCTCCCAGGAGAAAGTTAACCTTCAAAACCCCAGTGTTACTTCTAACAATGAGGATAGCACATGTTAGGGGGCTGAGAGGCGCTGCTGCAATGATGAGGAGCTGCGATTGGTGGAGCTTGTTTGGAAAGCAAAGGGCAGGTGTGGGAGCCACTGACACATGTTCACACCTTTCACTGGTGGTTCTGCCCTAAGCGGCCTCAGGAAGCACCGAGACCAGACAGAGAGGCAGCTGTCCCCCTCACTCACTCACCCAGCAAAGCCGCTGCCTCCTGGGCCAGGTGCTCAGGCCGGCTCTGTGCCCGCACAGCTCCCCCCAGGGAGCCTTACCGTGAGAAGCCGGGAGCACTGTGAGCGCCCAGTGACAGAGACCAGGGCAGGCAAATCCTGCTCACCCAGGAGATGGAACATTCGGAAGCTTGGAAACAATCGTGTTTTGAAGACTTTGTAATGAAAGAGGGCGCATATACTGGTTGCATGATTTTATTTAAAAAGAGGAAGCCTCGCTCTAGCTGGCTGCTCAGTGGTTAGGGCGTCGGACTGGAAGGTTGCGGACTCGATTCCCGGTCAAGGGCACGTACCTGGTTTGCAGATTCAATCCCTGACCTGGTTGAGGCCCAAGCATGAGGCAACCAATCGATGTGTCTTTCTCTTTCTCTCTCTCACCTCTCCCTCCCTCCCTCCCCTCCCTTCCACTCTCTAAAAATCAATGGAAAAGGAATTCTCACTCCTCAGGTGAAGATTTTAAAATTAAAAAAAGAGAAAGGCTTTATTTAGCACGACATTAATTTTTTTTGGAAAAATATGCTAAGAGTTACATAGAAAAAAGCCTGAAAAGATACCTGTGTGTTAATAATGGTTATCCCTGGTTGATGGCATTATGGATCATTTAATGTTTTCCTTTGTATTTTTCTATGTTTAAATTTTTTTGAATGAGCTGTTACTTAATAACCAGAAAAAAATGCACATTTTCAAAGAGAAAGATTTGGGGCAACAATGTTTGTGGTGCTCAGAGGCGAGGCGAGGAGCTTCCTACAGGAACCGGGGAGAGGCGGGCAGCGGCGTGCGGTGGCGGGCCCGCCCACTTTGCAGTCCAGGGCTCTTCTGTCCGTTCTGCTCCACTCGCCTGGCCCCAGCAGCAAGAGGCTGATTCACAGAGAGATGACAGGGACGTGTGCTCCCTCCTCGGACACTCCTTCCCCCGTTTGCCATTGCACCTGCCACAGCCGGGCACAGAGCTCGCACCAGCACTTCCCCCGGGGGCAGTCTTCAGTTGGGGTAGATGTTATGAGCATGTTCTGATCGGCAAATATGATTTTTATTTTCAGTAAAAATGGAGCCACCTGTGATTTCCAGTGTGAAACCAATTTTGGGCGTCAAACGGATGCTTCAGATACAATGGACCAAACCTACGCTGGCCCCCGCCTCTTCCGCGTTGCAATGCAGGCTTCGGTTCAGAACAGCGAACAGCACCCACTGGGTAAGTCATGCCACGGGGTGTTCCGACCAGGGCCCAGAGCGGAGATGACTGGCCGCTGGCTGCAGTGAGAATGGAGACAGCGCAGCGCGTCCTCCCGCCGCCCGCCCTCGGTGGGAGCGTTTCCCGCAGGCGCCTGCATGCTGAGCGCACGGGCGCGTGAAGAGACCTTTCTTTTGCATCCACCTGGTTTGTGTCTCGCTGTGCTGGCTGCCAGAGATGCTGGGCGTGGCTATTCCCTTTTCTATGTTATGAAACTGAGATAAAATACACATTCGGCAAAGTGAACGGAACATAAAATGCACTTAACAGACTGTCATTGTCAGCTTAACCATATGAGCGCCTCAGTGCCTGTTAGCTCCCGGGAGCTGCTATCCTGGTTTTCGTGGTCAGTACTTTGCTTTTCAGTAAGGGCTCAGTCTGTACTCCTGAGCGACGTAGTTTGAGACCTTGTATAAATGGAATCCATACATTTAGAACTTAGTTTGTCTCTCTCGTTACTGTGCCTTTAAGACCCATGGTGTCACGTGATGCTGGCGCTCCTACTTTTCACGGCCGTGTGTCGTGTCCCGCTGTCTGGGCACAGAGTAGACTCCCGGCCTTACTGAGGCGGCAGAGCTTTTCGTGTGACTATTGGTTATTTAAGCCTCTGGCCCGGTTCCTTCTGTCGGGCGGCCTGATTGCTTTAACTGCCGTGTAGGAGTTCCTGACGTGTTCTGCTCGTGTCTCTTGTTTATGTGTCGCGAACATCTCCCCGCGCGGCCTGCCTGTCCGCTCTCGGCGTGACCTGGAGCAGCACTTGCTCACTTTGGGACGCCAGGTCCCAGCAGCCTCTCCTTCCGCCCGAGCCTCGCGGGCAGGCGATGCCCCCGCACCTCCGTCCGTGCGCTGGAATTAGAGCGGCCACGCTTAGCTGCTAGTCGATTAAACCAGTGCCATCTTTAAACCTCCCTCCCCACACAAGGTGCCAATGCGCCTGTGCCACCGAATAACCTGCTGGTTCTCACCTGAGCGCAGGCGTTGACGTCCTCCCTCTGGGGGGCCGGGCAGGTTGTTAGAAACAGACCTGGTGAAGCTGATCGGGTTGGAGTCATTGCCTGGTGGCGCTGCGGGAGGTGGGTTCAGCCTGTGTGGGGCTGGTTGGTCCTGACCAGGCAGAGGCACAGGCCGGGACCCAAGGCCAGAGGCACGGAGCCCTGGAGGCGCGCAGCGTGGCACCGACAGCCTCTCCCCCGTCCCGGCTCCCAAGGGCAGGTGCCAGGGGTGCCTTCGGCAGGGCCCTCAGCACGACGCCCGGGAACCCACAGGCCGGCCGAGCGCGGCCAGGGGCCTGCAGTGCAGGAGGAGACATTCCAAAGATTTAAAAACAAATATTATAGATTTTAAAAAGCAAAACAGAACTTGATTATATTTCCCTGCATGTGCTGTATGGATTAATATTGTTTAGTTTGGCTTTACCTGTGGATGGCCCCCTGCTAAAGGTCTGGCTCCAGCTGGGCCCCATCACACGGGGCTGGGGGCTCCCCGCCCTGGACCCAGAACCACGGGAACAAGGGGCTCCCCGCCCTGGACCCAGAGCCACTGAAGCGAGGGGTTCCCTGCCCTGGACCCTAGAACCATGGGAGCAAGGGACTCCCTGCCCTGGACCCTAGAACCATGGGAGCAAGGGGCTCCCCGCCCTGGACCCAGAACCACTGGAGCGAGGGGCTCCCTGCCCCGGACCCTAGAACCACGGGAGCGAGGGGCTCCCTGCCCTGGACCCAGAACCACGGGAGCGAGGGGCTCCCTGCCCTGGACCCAGAACCATAGGAGCGAGGGGCTCCCTGCCCTGGACCCTAGAACCACGGGAGCGAGGGGCTCCCTGCCCTGGACCCAGAACCACAGGAGCGAGGGGCTCCCCGCCCTGGACCCAGAACCACGGGAGCGAGGGGCTCCCTGCCCGGGCCCATGACCATGGCTAAGCTTGTGAGGAGAGGTTCCTGTGCCTGAGCGGGCGGGCGGAGCAGCCCTGTTCCCGGGGGAGGCAGGCGGAGTCTGGGACCCAGGCACCTGGGCCTCCTTTCAGGCGCCTCCTGTTTGGGTGCGAATGGTCCCGGCCTGCGGGGAGGTTCATTTGTGGACCTTACACATGGTAAATGGTAGGATCCGAGCTCTAACGCTACTGGTTCTGTAAGCTAAGAGAGGGCTGGAGTGAAGAGAAATGGAAAGCTAACTGGTCTCATCCAGCTCAAGGTCGTCTCTGCCTTGTAGATGGAAGTCAGCTTCTCGGTCAAAGAAGAGACCAAGGAAAACCAACCCTACAACCTCACAGGGCTGCAGGCCTTCACGGAGTACGAGGTGAAGCTGCGCTGTGTAGCCCAGGAGTCCGCCTTCTGGAGCGGCTGGAGCCCCGTGCACAGCGGGACCACCGAGGAGGAAGGCAAGCGCCCCGACCCCCTCGTCCCCCTCTGCCTGCTTGGGGCGGGTGGTCGGGAACCAGGGAACCCCAGTCCCGGAGCCGGGTGTCTGGGCCTTTCCTCTCAGCAGGGCCTCCCGGCCACAGGCTGAGCCGGGCCCAGGGCGTCAGCTACCCCAGCAGCTTTCTGTCCCGAAGGCAGGAACCCCAGAACGTGTGAGCGTATAATACTGAACAACCTCCTGCGACAGCTTAAAGGTTCTATTGCAGACCCCGAGCTCCTGCTCAATATAAAGGCAGGGCTGACTCATGCGGGAAGAGAAAGGGCCCCATGGCTGAGGTGCCCCAGCCTGGCTCCGCGGGACCTCGGACAGGACACCTGTTCCCTGAGCCTCAGTTCCTGACCCTCCCTCTCCACATGGAATATGGTGTAGAATGGAGTTTGTCGAGGTGCCTACTCGTCAGTGTTAGTTTAGAGAGCGAGTGAAATCAGGTGTAGCCCACAGAGGCCACCCAGTAATGCCAGGCTTCCTATTATTATTGGCTCCCCCTGGAGGCCCTACCGCATGTGCAGACCGCCGTGGAGGTGAGGGGCGGAGCTGCAGAGGCTGACAGGCTGCTCAGGGCCGAGATGTGCTGTTGTCTGTCCATCAGGAGCCTGGGGGGCCTGACCCCCAGCCGGCAGCCAGCACCATGTGGTGAATGAAGGCGTTTTCCAGGGCGGCTCTGACAGGTCCCCGAGTTTCACGGGCTGGAGTCCCTGCGTGGTCAGGGCCGTTTCCCTGGAGACAGGACGGAAGTCCGGGTGTCCTCAGGGCGGTTTCCCTGGAGACAGGATGGAAGTCCGGGTGTCCTCAGGGCGGTGGGGACACTGTGGGGCCGGCAATCTGGAGACCAGGTTCCCTCGGGGTCTTGTCTGCACAGCCTGCCTCCTCCCGTAGCTGTCTCTCCTCCCGTGACCTCCTGACCCCTATGGCTCAGTCTCCCGTTAGCTCATCGAGGTCTGGCCTCTCTCTAGTGTCCACGTCAGGCCCAGGCTGTCGGCCAGGATCCAGACCCAGCCTGGCAGCTGGTCGGTCTGCGGCCATGGCTGCGGGTGATCGCGCCCAGCAGGTGCTCCCGTTCTGGGGCTGGGCTCGTGCAGTCAGCACTGCCCGCCACGTGGCCAGGGGAGCTCGGGCCTTTGTTTTCCCTCATTTTTTTCAGGAATTGAGTGGGCATGCACCTCTTGTAATTGTTTGGAATATCTAAGCGGAAACACTACCTGTTTCCTTGTGGATTCCAACTCGTTGAGTGCTGGGCATTGACCCGCGTGTGAGCAGGTGCATACTCCTGCGTGACACTCGGCTTTATTGCTCATGCGCTTACGGCCCAGGCGGTGCGCCTCCTACCACCGTCCTCACAGAGACAACGTGGGCTCGGCCAGCGGCTGGGCTGTGATCCCGTGGAAGGAGCTGGAACTGTTCGGCTTCATGTGTGACCTCATCTTTATTCCACTGCGATGTGTCTACCAGCCCTGCCGGGAAGGTCTTTATTGAACTGAAGACAGAGCAGCCAGTGCCTGGCCTTGGCAGGGAGAGCAGCGGGCTGGTTCCAGCCGGTCTGCAAGCCGTGGAGACCGAGCGCCTCCCGGACGTCAGCCCTGCGCAGGCTGCGAGGTCCGGGCCCTCCCCGGCCCCCACAGCTGGGAGCACGCGCTCCATCGCCCACTTGCAGTCTGTCCGTTCCCTGCGTGGCCGTCAGGCATCCCAGCTGGCTGCAGGCAGCTGCTCTCAGAGGAGTGAGGTGGCACGGCAGTCCAGCACTGAGCCACACGTTCCCTTCCAGGGGCTGATGGCACCTTCTTCTGAGCTCACGGGAAGTCCTCAGAACCAGGGCGGTTTCATGTCTTCCTTGGGTTGATTCCAATCCTGCAGCCGCGCCGTTCCCACCTCACTGGTCACACAGCACTGATCCTGCTGTCTCCCCAAGCAATCCCTTCCATGACACCGAAACCTAACCCTTCCTTCCCCTCCCTTTCCCTCCCCTCTCCTCTCCCCTTCCCTCCCTTTCTCCTCTCCCCTCTGCTCTTCCCTCCCCTCCGCCTCCTGCCCGTGCTGAGCCTGTCTGTTCCCTGCAGCTCCCCTGGGCCTGGACCTGTGGAGGGTGCTGGGACCCACCCGGGCGGATGGGAGCCGCCCCGTGAGGCTGCTGTGGAAGGTGAGTGCTCTGGGTCTTCAGTCCTCCTTTGTTTATAACCTGGGTCTCTTCCACCAGAAGCTGTGATTGTTGAACTTTGACCTCCTGAATGTCCTGCCCAAGAGGCTTTATGATGCCCCAGATCTCCCAGTGGTTTCCCAGCTCAGAGCCTGTAGGTCACCTTATAGGGTTAGGGTTGGGGTTAGGGTTAGGGTTAGGGTTAGGGTTAGGGTTAGGGTTAGGGATAGGGTTAGGGCTAGGGTTAG